ATTACATCTTTATAATAAATAGGTTGGTTAAGAGGGGGTGAGGTTACAGTTACCTAATGTTTATAAGCTGATAGTTCATTTTTCTCATTCATATTAAAAAAAATTTAAGGTAAAGAGAGCCGAAGACAATCTATTTCTAGGGGTGCTGTTATACTGTTTCCCCCCTTTTTCTGTTTTAAGAGCATTTTTTAAAGTTCGATTTTGCCTTTCAATAATAGCTTGTCTAGTGCTATTACCAGGAATTCCTGCAATATGTTTAATATTATATAATTTTTAAAAGGATTTGACATTTCTACTGAATGATTTGATTGACGAAGTGCTTTAAATTTCTTTGAGGGAGGGGCCACTGCCCCACCCAAACTGGTTTATCAGTTTTAATTATCCTAGGACGGACATTAAGTTCTTTCATGATTAGGTTATTTCTGCCTAAAATTAGACCCACAGTTCCAGAAGGAATGGGACCATAGACACCAGTAGGTAATTCCTTAGGGGGGGTCTCCATTTCTCAAATCTTGACCTGGGACCTTGAGCAGACCCCATTACCGAGTTCCCTTGGTTCTGATCAGTATTGAAAGTTCCTCATTTACATGAAGAGGATAAAATATTGCCGTATTTAATCTCTAATGGATTTACATTCATTAGTCCAGTGATGGCCTTTTCCACAGCGGTGACAAACACCAGGGAGCTTAATTTCAGTTTTTTTCCACATTCTTTTTTCAAGTGCCCTGCTTTGCCACAGTTGAAGCATTTAGCCTTAGATGTGTTAGCTGCTCAGGCAGATGCCAAATAGAAGTTTGTAAATTGTCTTGAAAGGTTCCTGAACCTACCTCTCAGCAGGCACGGATATACTGTTCTATAGTAAAATTTTCCTGATTCTTTACTCCTGCTAGAGCTTGCCTACAGTCAGACCCTGGAGCTGTCTGATGAGGAGACTGAAGAAGAAGAGATTGATCGGAACTGGAGCTGTCTGATGAGGAGTCTTCAGCAGAAGAAGAGGAAAGTGATGAAGACAAATCAGATGAAACAAGCTTTATTACCCCTGCAGACAGTGGCCTCATCACTCCTGGAGGTTTCTCTTCAGTCCCAGCTGGAATGGAGACCCCTGAACTCATTGAGCTGAGGAAGAAGATTGAGGAGGCCATGGATGGAAGTGAGACACCTCAGCTCTTCACTGTGTTGCTGGAGAAGAGAACAGCCGCTATTGGAGGAGCTATGATGGGATCGACCCACCTTTAGGACATGTCCACGGTTATGAGCCAGAAGGGCCTGGCCTCTGAGCTGCAAGGTGTGGAAGTGGCCTTGGACCCTGAGGAGTTGGACCCCATGGCCATAACCCAGAAGTACGAGAATCACATAAAGGAGCAGCAGGCACAAGTGGAGAAGAAAGACTTCAGCAACATGGTGGCCGAGCATGCTGCCAAGCAGAAGCAAAAGAAATGGAAAGCCCAGCCCCAGGACAGCTGCTAGGGCAGCAAGAAATAGAAGGAGTTCAAATTTTAGGTCCCGACACACACCTGGTCCTCTTGTAGGCCCTTTGATTGGATGTGACTTCACAGATGGGTCCTCAAGAGCCACCTTTCAGCATTTCCAAAGAGCTTGTTATTTTGTGTTATTTTAGACCTGTTTTGTAAATAAAGCTGTTTGCCAAGGAAGGAGATGAATATGTAACAGTAAATAAATAAATAAAAGCTGAA